AGTGCCTTGCAATGTGACCATCCTTTCCACATGCATGACAGACAAAGCTTTGAAGAGGTCTCTCATTGTCTTGACAATGTCTAGCAATGTGACCAGCTTTTCCACATGCATAGCAAAGAATAACACCTTCTGAATTTATTTTTGTAAATCTCCTTGGTCTATGATGGGAACCATTAGATAATGTAGAACATTCTCTCCCACCTAAGGCTGCAACTGGATGTCTAGATTTGGCAGTTTTCATTTGAATATTTGCATTAGCATTATTGTTGTAAAACTGTGTCATTTTACCAATAATGTCATTATATTCAGAGAGTGGTGTCACAAGCATTGTCACAGCAGACCGGGTGAGTGGGTCACATTTGTTAATCAAGGCAGACTTGAAACTGACATCATTCTTAGTAATATCGGGATTGCCACTGAAAGTTTTAAACATCTCCAATAATCGTTCTGAAAATGCTGCTGGATGCTCCCCTTTCCTCATGTGCATTTCAGATATTTTATCCCAATTAACTGACATCTCACCTAAGACTTCAAGCAGTGCCTTTTTCCTCTCTGACTTATTAGCCTTTCTGTCCTTTACTTTCTGAGTTAAGGCTCCAGACAAAGTGTCAGGTAAGCACATTCTCAACAAAACGCATGCATCACCATCTGTTAAATTGTAAACTTCAGCATATTCCTCCAAGTTTTTCAGAAAATCTAATGGATCTTGTTTGGCAGGATCAAATTTACCAATATTCTTGATCACAGTTTCTAGTTCAGTTGGATTAAATCCTCGGACTATGGTAGAGGTCATTGGTTCTTCCCTTCCTTCACTAGCACGCATAGTCGTAGTAGTATGGACTGGTGCCATGGGAAATTTTTCCCAACCCTCAGTGGTGTCTTCCTGCAAATCTGGCATTTCTGGAACTGGGTTACACAATGTGACACCTAACAATGTCTTACTACGGTTTTTCTCAGTTGTGCCACTCTTTATCATAAACTGACAAGCCGCCTTCGCTTCCTCCAAATTGTTGGACAATGTTTCCACAGATGATTTAAGCATACTATTGTTAGATCTAAGAAGTGTGATCTCATTCTGCATCTTGACCTTTTCTTCTTTCCATATTGTTTCACTAGCCAGGTAATTTTTTGTAGAAATTACCCCAACACTGAGTCGCTCATTTTCAGCCTCTAACTCATCTACTCTCCTCCTAGTTACTTTGTATGAAGCAAAAAGTGCTTGAAGCGCATTAGCAATTTTCCCATTTTTGTTCTTAGGCATTTTGGGATCATTTTCAAACTTAGAGATAGCCCACTTGTACGGTTTGTCAACAATATTCTCTATTCCGTCAAACATTCCCTGAGAACCGTGTTTAGCGATGTATTTAACAATAATTTCTTCCATTTTCAAAAGTCTTATCAGGCTTTAGAGTATCTCGTGATCTAATAGTTATTCACAAAGTCTGATTTTAAATAACTACACGTTATCTAGTTCCTTTGAGATATCCGTCTAATTATTCACAGCTTCAGTAGCCTACTTCGGACGCAAATTAACAAAATAGCCACACTATCTGAGGCTTCTAAACTTAACCATGGCCACAATCCATTTGACCTTAAATTTCACTACACAAAACAGTTTTAAAAAACACTGTACAAAACCACACTACGTCGGGTTTTATGTTATTTTCTTAAAACAGTTTACTTATCCACAGTACTTCGGGCTTATACAATATCTAATTTAAAACACTGCCACAGTACGTCGGGCAAAACCACACTGCTTCGGGTTCTTGTTTTAAATTCCACAGAGCCGTAAAGTGTCAGACTCACTAATCTACACTATAAAACACAATCGTTGTGCAATAATTCTGTGACCACACTGCGTAGGGTCTTATTCACTTACTTTAGAATTTCCTCAGAATTATAACAACTTCACAATCGGTTTCAAGTACATTAGAAACATACACATTTGTTTCAGTTACTTTAGAAACAACTGATCTAATATAATTCTGCCACCACACTACTTCGGGTTGATTCACTTACTTTAGAATCTCAACAGAATTATAAGAGACCGACACCAAGTTTCAGTTACTTTAGAAACTTTACACTTAAGCACTTTGTTTCAACTACTTTAGAAACAACAATTCCAATACAACTCTGTCACCACACTACTTCGGGCTGATTCAATTCTGTTAGAATCTTAAACAAAATCGTACAGAATAGGCTTAACAACTCTTCCTGCTAAGACTGAATAAACCAAATTCTCTTCTGTCCTTAAATTTTCCTTTTCTAGATTTTTTTAAACGAGGGGTTTCCTGACAAAAAACAGCATAAATGAAAGAAAACAGCTTTTTCTTACCTTTCCCCACTTTTTGTTGGAAACTCCTGGAAGGGTGGCTCGCCAATGTAAGAAAAAATAATGCGGACGTCGAAGATCTCAAAAATGAAGTTTATTACAGCATAGCAGTGGCAAGATACACGGAGCACCTTGGGTTCACCGGCGTCCAAATGAACCCCGAAATAATCTCAGCTCAAACATTTTATACTGTATTCCATTCGTCTTCCCCCTCAGCATGTAAATGAAGTACAAGAGTCAGCCCATTTCCCCAGTCCTGATCTCATCAACATAACAGTCTCATTCACATCTTGATGATAATCCAATCAGCCCAACTGATTCTTTTAACTTACAATAGGGAGAACAGGACTGGCAGAACTCTCATGCTTAACAGGTGACATCATCATCATCATCACAACTCCAAAGTGCAAAACACAATGTACATCACTTCAATGTAGAACTGTCAAATGTTAAGGTGATAACTTTTATTTTAAGTCCCTGTAATCAAGATGGTTCTTGATTGCCTGCTGTCGCTCCCATGCTATAGGTGATAACCGTGACTCTTTGCATATTACTGAGATTGGAATGAATTGTCTCTATGATAAATAAGCTCTTTTAGTGAAGGAACATTTACATATATATATTGGAGTGGAAGTTGGATCGGAGCAGACTATAATTTCTTACAGAAGAAACAAAGAGACTATTTCCGCCTATTTGAAAAGCTCATTGACTCTTTTTTTTTTTAAACAATAAAGCTTACAGCACCTGGTATTCCCAGGCGGTCTCCCATCCAAGTACTAACCAGGCCCGACCTTGCTTAGCTTCCGAGATCAGACGAGATCGGGCGTGCTCAAAGTGGTATGGCCGTAAGCGAAACCTGCTGCCAAAATCGGGCTTTTTGAAGAAAAATTTAAGAGACTCTTTCAGGGTTTCTGAAGAAACTCAGAGAGACTATTTCAGGCTTTTTGAAGAAACAAAGAGACTATTTCCGCCTATTTGAAAAGCTCATTGACTCTTTTTTTTTTTTAAACAATAAAGCTTACAGCACCTGGTATTCCCAGGCGGTCTCCCATCCAAGTACTAACCAGGCCCGACCTTGCTTAGCTTCCGAGATCAGACGAGATCGGGCGTGCTCAAAGTGGTATGGCCGTAAGCGAAATCTGCTGCCAAAATCTGGCTATTTGAAAGGTTAGAACATTAGTGAAGTAAACAATAAAGCTTACAGCACCTGGTATTCCCAGGCGGTCTCCCATCCAAGTACTAACCAGGCCCGACCTTGCTTAGCTTCCGAGATCAGACGAGATCGGGCGTGCTCAAAGTGGTATGGCCGTAAGCGAAACCTGCTGCCAAAATCGGGCTATTTGAAAGGTTAGACATTAGTGAAGTAAACAATAAAGCTTACAGCACCTGGTATTCCCAGGCGGTCTCCCATCCAAGTACTAACCAGGCCCGACCTTGCTTAGCTTCCGAGATCAGACGAGATCGGGCGTGCTCAAAGTAGTATGGCCGTAAGCGAAACCTGCTGCCAAAATCGGGCTTTTTGAAGAAAAATTTAAGAGACTCTTTCAGGGTTTCTGAAGAAACTCAGAGAGACTATTTCAGGCTTTTTGAAGAAACAAAGAGACTATTTCCGCCTATTTGAAATGCTCATTGACTCTTTTTTTTTTTTTTTTTTTTTTTTTTAAACAATAAAGCTTACAGCACCTGGTATTCCCAGGCGGTCTCCCATCCAAGTACTAACCAGGCCCGACCTTGCTTAGCTTCCGAGATCAGACGAGATCGGGCGTGCTCAAAGTGGTATGGCCGTAAGCGAAATCTCCTGCCAAAATCTGGCCCTTTGAAAGGTTAGAACATTAGTGAAGTAAACAATAAAGCTTACAGCACCTGGTATTCCCATGCGGTCTCCCATCCAAGTACTAACCAGGCCCGACCTTGCTTAGCTTCCGAGATCAGACGAGATCGGGCGTGCTCAAAGTGGTATGGCCGTAAGCGAAATCTGCTGCCAAAATCTGGCTATTTGAAAGGTTAGAACATTAGTGAAGTAAACAATAAAGCTTACAGCACCTGGTATTCCCAGGCGGTCTCCCATCCAAGTACTAACCAGGCCCGACCTTGCTTAGCTTCCGAGATCAGACGAGATCGGGCGTGCTCAAAGTGGTATGGCCGTAAGCGAAACCTGCTGCCAAAATCGGGCTTTTTGAAGAAAAATTTAAGAGACTCTTTCAGGGTTTCTGAAGAAACTCAGAGAGACTATTTCAGGCTTTTTGAAGAAACAAAGAGACTATTTCCGCCTATTTGAAAAGCTCATTGACTCTTTTTTTTTTTTAAACAATAAAGCTTACAGCACCTGGTATTCCCAGGCGGTCTCCCATCCAAGTACTAACCAGGCCCGACCTTGCTTAGCTTCCGAGATCAGACGAGATCGGGCGTGCTCAAAGTGGTATGGCCGTAAGCGAAATCTGCTGCCAAAATCTGGCTATTTGAAAGGTTAGAACATTAGTGAAGTAAACAATAAAGCTTACAGCACCTGGTAGGCAAACTCTCCTCTAAGTCCTTATACTGACCAATCATTGAGCGCCGTTGAGCAAGTTGAGTAGCTCAATCAACCAATCACTGAGCTCTGTTGAGCAGGCATCTTCCTCAACCCACCAATCAGATGGCCCCATTGACCGGGTCAAGTGCATCATGAGAGTGACAAGCGTAAACAACACTAACGTTACTATCATCAGTGGACTGAGATCGGTGACAGCAAACAAGAGGTAAGTCCAGTATATTCTCTGTGATTTTATATGTTTTTAGCATTTACCGAGCGATCGTTGAGATAGCGGATTTTAGTATATTAAATTGGCTAGGACTGTTTGACATCACGTCTTCGCGTAACTTAGTGTTTGGCCAAAAACGGCTTTACTCAGTGATGTCGCGAATAGATATGACTTTAAGCTTTCTAACAGTTTTTTCTGCATGGATTTACGTGCAGTAATTACAAAGTTATCAACTGTTAAAGTTTTAAAAACATTAATAGGGGAAATATAATCGCCCATCTAACTAACGTTACTGACATGAATCGTAAACTGCACTGCAGTAATTCTTGATAGTCTTTGTAATGTTTTACTAAAAAGTAAATACTTTTGGAAATAGTTACCCAAACACTATCAGGGCTGGACATTAAAACTAACCTACTATCCAAATACAGTTAGATTTTACTTATGGCTAGTAACACAACTGTCACTTGCCAGTTTGTCCTGTTGGAATTGACTGACTACCATACTGTACATTTAAATAGTTTAGGCCTGTTTTGTCAGGCTATCTCCACTTATTTAAACTATTTTGTCTCATAGTAACTGATAAGCCATTAACAGTCAATAACATAAAACACTGAAAACTAAAATACAGTCTAAAATTATAAACCATTACCTTTTGAACTTTCAGCTAATCATGTGAAATATCACATTAAAAGGTAAATCAGATAACATCCATAAAGATTACTCAGTACTTGTGTAGTATTTTTTTTTTTTTTTTTTTTTTTTACTTCTACTTTAAGTAATAGTAATAGCAGTAGGCCTACTGTTACTTGTGTGATGTACATGTTTTGCATCTCCTGGTCTTCCAGTGTTTAGTCCCCTGTACCGTTTGAAAAGAAGAAACTATTCTGAATCTGTTTCTGTTTTATTACATCAGATAAAAAGCATGGATTTGCAGGGACACAAGTGCAGTGTATGTGACAGGAGTTTCTCTGTGAAGTCCAACCTGACTCGGCACATGCAGCTTCATGGTCCAAAGGAACATGTGTGTGAAGTGTGTGGGAAAAGCTTCTCACTGAAACAGCAGCTGAGCAGCCACCAAAAACAGCACCTGTACCCATGCATCCGTCTGTACAGGCAGGGAGAGGCCAAGCTACAGTGTACGGATGCAGCTAAGAGTGTGGCAATGGCCCCCAGCAAAGCAGTAGACCCCAGCTATCTGGATTCTGAAAAGGCAGAGGCTGCTGCAAAGAAAGCTGGAGGGGAAATGTGGAAAGGCCAGCTAATTGTCACATTCGGCAAATATGAAGGACAGTCTTTCAGGTGGCTGCTTGAAAATGATGTGGGCTGGGTCATATGGCTGCTGTCTGAATATTGCCAGAAGGGTGAGAAGAACGAACTCCTAAAGTGGCAAAAGGAGCGATTGCTGCAGTATGCCAGAGAGTTCCCGCCTGTCACCTTTCATCTTGACAAACGCTTGGAGGTAACTTTAACCCTTTAACTGAGATTAAATTATATTTACTGTTTTGTTTATAAAAAAATGTAGTGCATGTGTAAATCAGTTAGGCACATGTAATGCACCTTCAATAGTAAAATCATCAATGTTTACTCTGCACAAAAGCTTGTGCTTTAGACATAGGAAGTGGTAACAGTGTAAGTACTTGTGTTTATGTGGTACAATACAACTTTGTATGTTTTTATACAATTTCTTTATTTTCTGCATGAATAGGAGTCAAGGAAAGACAAAGGAAAGAAGGCTGAATCTACCCTTTCTAAGTTCCAGCAGGATCCTGACTATGCCAGTGATGCTGAATTGTTGGCAGCTGCAGGTATTTAACATTTAACTCGCCATAACTCTATTTTAAAATTCATATAACATTTAACACGCCATAACTCTATTTTAAAATTCATATAACATTTTCTTACTGATGTATTTCAAACATCTGACTAAATACACTGCTGAAATATCACACATTTTATGGCACTGATAATGACGACAGTAGGTTTAGTATTTCACTTTAATTTTCAGCAGGGTGAGGGATATTGTCAAGCTAGCTGCCCTTTTTCAGTCTAACAGATTAATGTCTAAATTCTTTGTTGGCATTTAGATAACACATACAAAAATCAATTTAATTTGTAGATGTGATATGTTGGATTTGTTTTAAACTATTGCCTATATTTGTAGCAGCTCTATACTAAAATGTTTGTATCAAATATAATTTGTGTTCTCTAAAATAAGATCTGATAACATGGAAAAAAGAAACAAAATTTGTTTATTGTGATAATGCTAGTGTTTGTCATTATATTCACATCTTTAGCAATGTGCTCGATACATTTTGTCTGATTTTTTTCTACAGAGACAGTCCTTGAAGATTCTGAGGTAGCGGTCTCCACACGGCTGACCACCTGGGGAGAGCTCACACCGGCTGTGAGTCAGGACCCTTCCCACAGCCTCAGCACATCTCAGGGAAGACCTTCTTCCCCTGTAGACACCTCTGCCTCAGAAACCGGTGGCATCTTGCTGGAGGGCTGGCAGAAATACTGGGAGCATCCACCTCCATCTACACAAGCCAATGGTATAGCTCCTCCTAACATCACATGGCTGAAATGTGATGAGATGTATGGTCTGTTTAAGAGGCCTTCCAAGTACAAGAATGCCAAAGGAGAGATTGTGGAGAGAAGGCTTTTAAAGGAGAAGATGGAGTTCCACCCACCCCCAATTCCTACTTCTGTCAAGGGAGGACTGCCCAACATGATGGCCTTTTTCACAACCCCTGCCTTCTTCTGGCGCCCAGTTGGTGTGATGCAAGCCAAGATCCGCTGCCCTAGCTCCAACTGCCCTGCACCACCAGGTGAATACCTTGAGAAGAAAGGCTTTGGTAGTTATGCCAGGCAAGTGTGTGGGATGAAGTACAATTACACCCTGTTGACGGAGAAGCTGAAGTGTTCACATTGTGAAAAGATGAGGCGGGCAGTGAGTAAGACACATAGTGACACAGACAGTGAAGATGAGGACAGTCATCATGTTCAGCAGTACATTTGGCTGGCACACAGTCCCAAGATTTTGATGAACCTGGCCCCGGCCATCAGAAGCATGTTTCCTGCCATACTGTGTGGGAAGCGTGCTATTGACAAAGGCGTGGTTACTCTTCTGAATGACAGGGTCAACAGTGTGTCCATGAACAAAGTCCAGAGACTGCTGCAGCAGGGACATGATGAGTGGTATGTGGAGCGCCGTGACCTGTACCAGACTCTCCTGTACGAAGCCCACACAGCTGGATCTGCATCGTCTCAGAAGAGCATCCTGTCCTTTGTCAAAGCTGCTGGTACTTACACCCCTCCTCTGCCCCGGACTCCCCTTCCTTCTGCACGTGTGCTGAGGCGTGCACACATGATCATGGAGATGGAGAAGATGCCTGTGTACAGAGCCTCAATCCTCAGTGTGACTGGAGAAATCCTCTGCATTGATGGTACAAAAAAGGTATGTGTATTGTATCAATTCATGAAGTTAAGCAGACTTAATATTTACTTAGTCACTTTAAAGTGACTTGAGCCAGCTTATCGTTTTGAATAAGGGACTTTGGCCTCACTGTTCAGCGTTCAAATGTGATGGATACAATATGTACATGCATTGTAATTCATATAAATTATATTGGACAGACAGGTTATTGATAGAAACTATCAAATGAATGTTCTGCTTTGTATTTTCCAGGTCCTTAAGAAGATATATGGTGATGGCCAGGGCACCATGCAGTATATCACCAGTGTGCTGAACGAGTGGGGCCAGTTCTTGACCACAGTGGTGGTGGCAGCCGAGTCTGAGGGGTGCTACAGACGTATGGCCAAAGGTCTGATGGCCCGCTTTGAACGAGCTAGGGCTCCTGCACCAATTGCCATATATGCAGATAACAACTGTTGTCGGTAGGTAATAACACATCCATATACCCTGATAAAATTTGTCATTAATTTAATGTTAAAAAAAAAACAAAGAACACATGCAGAATTTATATTGTTTCAGTGACAGTGGTTCGTCCTTCCTGGAGAATCTGTTCGGGGACTGGGTGCAGAAGGGTACTGTGGTCAGACTGGACATCCGACACTGGCTGCACCGCTGGGATGCTGTTGTCATCAAACAGAGCCATGCCAAGTATGGGATGTTCATGAGTGCCCTGGCAGGTGCAGGACGATATGATGCTCCTAATCCAGGCAGTCAGGAAGGGCAACCAGGAGTTGTACGCCAGTCTTTCAGACGAGGACATGATAGCCTTCCTCAAACCTCACCAGATCAGGTCCTATGTCAGACGGATCACCCGTGGGGTTGAGGTAAGTGTAATATTAATCCATATATAATCTTTATGTATAAGAAGCTCAAAAGTCTTTGAAGAAGTCTTTGTAATGTATTAAATTGAATACAGGTTGAAAAGGATTTGCAAATGAATGTATTCTGGTTTTATTTATGTTTTACACAACGTCCCAACTTCATTGGAATTGGGGTTGTAATTTGGTCCTGGTTTAGACATGGTGTGGGTTAGTCAGAATTACCTGTGCACAGATTTACATGTCCTCAACATTATTTGCACTTTGTGTAATTTGCCAAAAAAGATGTGTTTTCAGTGAATGTAAATATCTGCTTAACATTGCATACTATTGCACTGCATTACCTCATCCTCTTGTATATATTGTACGTATATTGTATATTGCTCAATGTGTACATGTATAAATCTTGTAAATATATATAAAAATCCTGTAAATAATAACTTATTAGTACCTATTTTGCTATATTTTCTGCTAAATTACTTAATAATTAATGTTAATTCTATTCTGTTTACCTTGTTACCTGTTATTGTTATTATTGTTGTTGTTTATTTATTTCTGATATGTAGATATATATTGTTGAACAAATCCTGTAAATTATAATTTAGTACCTATTTTGCTATATTTTCTGCTAAATTACTTAATGTTAATTCTATTCTGTGTACTTTGTTACCTGTGTTATTGTTATTATTGTTGAGTTGTTTATTTATTTCTGATATGTAGATATATATTGTTGACCAAATAAAAAAAAAGAATGTTTCCAAATATATGATTCCTCTCACTGCTGTTTCCCCATTTGTCCAATAGCTAAAGACTGTCACATGAAACTTTATTGAGTATAACAGAGGCTGAATTACTTACCAGGAAGGTAAAGTCTTAAACTTCCATTAAGGCCCTTTTATGAGTACATTTTACATGCTCCCTACAGGGCGAATAGGGCATATAGAGTGCATAATATCTCACATATGAGCAAATTACACTTTGTTCAAGTAGCCTAATATAGTTTATTAGCTTTTTTCAGTGATCTTGCAAACATTGTAACTAAAAGTCTCAAGTTTATTTGTAAAGTGCATCCATTCATACTTCAAACAGATATGAGCAAACACATTTGTTTTATTACTTGTTTTTTATTGTTTTAACTGAAGCATTATGTTTGTTATATTACGTGACAGACATCATATTATACTTAATAAACTATTCAAGTCAGAGATTATAGTCTTCATGGTCTTATTCACAAAAACATAAAAAAGATAAAAAAAGAACAGTAAACTATTTCAGAGGTAAACAAGACTTAAAATATAGATGTCCTGAAGTTTGAAAACATTGGTCTCTCTTTCCATTTGGCCCCTCCCCTCTCTCATCCCCTCTCTCATCTCTCTCCTCCCCTTGTTTCCAAGGTGATCAGGACCCAGGATAAGGACTTGGAGGGGTCATGAGCCATTCCCAGGCGGTCTCCCATCCAAGTACTAACCAGACCCGACCTTGCTTAGCTTCCGAGATCAGACGAGATCGGGCGTGCTTTTTTTTTTTTTTTTTTTTTTTTTAAGAAATTTCAATCAATAAAATACAATAAAAATTAATACAATAAAAAATACAAATTTTCCAAACATAATTTAGACAAACATCTCTACATTACATATCTTTCAGTTACCGTGGGAGTAAGTCACACATGTGCAAGTCACAAGCAAGTCTCAAGTCTTAACCTTCGAGTCTCAAGCAAGTCCAAGTCAATTTTTTATAAAAGCAAGCAAGTCAAGTCAAGTCACTGCCTTATATCAAGCAAGTCAAGTCAAGTCGTAGCTTGGGTCACAAGTCACTGGCAAGTCATACAAACGTTTGATGATTTCACTGAATTTATATATTAAAATAAGTTAAAACTACATAAGTTGTGGACTATGGTTTTATTTGCAACATATTTTTTTTAAATATGCATTTCCACATACAGCTGAGTGGTTACTACAATAAAAATCAAAAAAATCAAAAAATAAATACAATTTCAAACTACATAGCCTAAAATGTAAATGTAACTGAAATTAGGCCAACATTAAAGCATGAAAAAATAAATATGCCTCAAACATTGCAGAAGACCATTAAAAGGTATTAAACAATTCACAATTCAAGTATAATGGTTCCTATGCCACCAAATGGCATTCTTCAAACTGGGATCCCCTTTATATAAGTTATATAACAGCCGTTGGCATTTAGCCTATAATGAAGTTAAAACCGCCAATAGGTGGCGCCAAATCACCGTCTTAATGTACGAGTCATAGAAGCAGTCAACTGATTTGTTCAAAATGACAGATTCGTTCTGGAACTAAGCAACTAGGTCACTGACTCACAAATACGCATAACTCTTTCTGTGGCTTGTTTGGAACTATTGTCATTGGAGAAATAGAGCAAAAACAGAGAATATTTGGAATATTATGTCTAAAATGTCACATCACAATATTCACTCTTTGTTTACTGAACTGTTTTATAAAATCATCACATTTGCAATCGCGCCAATAATCTGGAAATATTTTTTTATATATGTTATAATTATGAAAATAACTCATACTAGGGCCATTTTTCCACCACATTTTGAATTTTGGGTGCATATTAATTCTGCTGGCATTTTTTGCCACCAACCCCCTGATAACATTAAGAGAAACATAAACGACAAAACTAACAGTTTTCTCTATTGTTTTTCGTCATTGGAAAGAACAACATTTTTGGCTTTAAAGCATGATTTAAAAAGAAATGTGGCAAATGTTATACAAAACATATACCATCATTAATTATCATTTGAATATTGACAACATTAAGCTACATTTGAAAACATAATTGTGTATAAAGAGGCATGCTGTTTTGACCAATATTATTCTCTCTAGATTTAAAGATAGTCAAATTAACTATAACAAACAGGTTAAACAAGCCATAGCTTACTTTTAGACGTGGTGAATGAAGTTCGACTGTTCGAGGTTGTGATGGTCGTCCGATATCCCTTGCCAGTTATTACAACGCATACAACAAATCTTCTTGCATGAATATGGTAATTTTCTAGTGTTTATATCCAAAAAGAAACGATGCAGGGAGATGTTTTTGTATTTAGCGCGCTCACCGCGATGTAGGCTATTTCTGGGCTTGTGCAGCGTCACGCAATCGCGCAGAATCTGATGACTGACGTCAATGGTTCCGTTGCTTTCATTTTGTTTATCAATGGATGTTGCGATGATTTATATAAAAATGTATATCAAGTCATTCTCGAGTCATACAGTTTAAGTCAAGTCAAGTCTCAAGTCATTGGATCTCAAGTCAAAGTCAAGTCGAGTCATTTTCTTAATTTAGTCAAGCAAGTCTCAAGTCCTTAAATTTGCGACTCGAGTCTGACTCGAGTCAAGTCATGTGACTCGAGTCCCCCATCTCTGTCAGTTACATACATAATTTAGAAAAACTCTTCACTTCCCGGCAGCTTCCACATCAATTATTTTAAAACACAACAAACTTTTGGGGTAAAAACATTATAAAAAGCATGCAACATATTTTCACCTTTAAAATACACATACAATCTTTCAATATATAATTCAGTTTTCATTTAATCCCACCGGTCACAATAGTGACCGTAAAAAAATGTTTCATTTCTAAGGCTATAAAAATGTTACTGAATGATCTATCAGTGCATTTCCAACAGATATTGAAATAATAAAGGGTCTCAATGAAATATGTGCAGTGTCACATGTTTACTGTAAATTGTCACATGACCAGAGCTGTTTATATCCTGTTTGTGCCAAGAGAAGAGGATGGCAGCAAGAAAGCTCCCAAAGAAAAGATCAGTAAAGCATGTTAACATAAAGATAGGACTTAGATTTTTGATACACATCATGTTTAAGGTGTCTAGTATTGATATATGCATTTGCAATTACTCAACTTTGTTTAATGTGGTCATAGAACTCACAAACATGTCACCGGCAACAATAGTGACCGGTGGGATAACCCATTGTATCTACATGCTAATAGACATAGGCTAACTGTTCTACCTTACTTTCTGCTGCTACCTAACTTTCTACCTAATTTTACACACACACACAGACACACAGACACAGACACAGACACACACACACACACACACACACACAAAGACTAGCTAGCTAACTAATTCTACCTAATTTTCCACACACACAAACGCAATTACAGGTAGGCACACACACGCACACCACACACTCCACACACGCACCCCGCACACACCACACACCCCACACACACGTACACCACACAACCCACACGCACCCCACACACACGCACCCCACACACACGCACCCCACACACACGCGCACCACACACCCCACACACACACCACACACCCCACACACACACCACACACCACACACCCGCACACCCCACACAGCACACACACCACACACCACACACCCCACACCCCACACACACACACACACACACACACACCAGACACCCCACACACACACACCGCACACGCACGCACACCGCACACCACAGACCCCACGGACACCAGACACCACACGCACCACACACACACCCCACACCCCACACGCACACCCCCCACACACACAAAACAGACACCCCCCACACACACACACACCGCACACCCCACACGCACGCACACCACAAACCCCACGCACACCACACCACAGACCCCACACACAAACCACACACCCCACACACACACCACACCCCCCACACACACACCACACATCCCACACACACGCACACCCCCCACACACACACAACAGACAACCCACACACACACACACACACCAGACACCCCACACACACACACGCACGCACACCACACACCACAGACCCCACGGACACCAGACACCCCACGCACCACACACCCCACACACCCCACACACACACCACACACCCCACACACACACCATACACCCCACACACACACCCCCCACACACACAAACCAGACACCCCACACACACACACCGCACACCCCACACGCACACACACCACAAACCCCACGCACACCACACCACAGAC